GTGAAGGCGTCTATATTTGGCCACAAATATTCAGTATTGAATATGGGCTAATACATCATTTACCTTTGGAAGTGCATGTAATATGAATAGCCTTGGAACAGTATTACCACAATAATCATTATCTCGGCTCTATATAGAAATATCAAGCCATCAGGACAAAAAATATGAAAGTGTCTGCACTGGAACGGAAAATGATTGATGTTGTTCCATCTGGTATTTTTTACAAATGCAGCCAAAAAACAATGCAAAAAGCAACGAAACTTGTAATTTTGAATAAGCAACCACTTCCAGAAGATGCAATAATATAAAAACATTCTTACTATTGTTTATGAAATAACAATGTGCTTTTATTGGCGAACACTTTCCCAACTCATGCCACAGTGGAATGCATCAGCACACTTCTTCATTTACTCCCTATGGTTTCTCTCTGGTCGCCCTCCGTTTGGCTTTCCCCTTATCTTTCCTTTTTTCCCCCCTCTTCACTTCAAAGCCGCGCTCGCCGTCACTCTGGGGGATAGAAACGGTTAATGCCTGGGGCTTTGATGTTCCGCTGCTGCTGCGAAAACCAGCCAATCCTGATCCCCATCCCTGCGCCATCTAACAACAGTTTGTGGAGAGAGGGAACCAGATTATGAAACTCCACCATTTTATCAATATGGGAGTGCCGGCGCTAACAAACACAATAGCAACGCTTCTTCCTGCATCAGCTTCAGATTATAGTAAGAAAGCAAGGTCTCTGAAGGTGTAGTTTTTGGAGGAGAGAAGGGATTTGGGGGCGAGTTGCCAGGTAGTGTGAGGCAGATGACATGAGCGGCATAAAGAGGAGCTCGGAAATCTCTCTAATCTGACTGAACAATTTTGGGGAAAATATCTATTTGCAAGTTCTCGAAAAAAGACTAAGATTTGAAAATGTTACAGGCAGTTTGTGATGATGAATTCTTGAGTAGCAAAGCATTTCTGAAGTTGTAACGGATCATTTGTTTTGAAATGCAGGACTACACTGCAAAAATGTATGAGACAATTGCTTTTAATGAACCGAGTGGTTTTTATTTTAATTAGAGTACTTTCTGACTGTCCTAAAACAAGAACTGTCAATGGGACAAAGTTACTTATTCAAGAACATAATTTTGCTTATTGTCCCATTTGTGTGTTTTTAATGCGCTGGAAAACGGCTGCAAGTCCTAAGTAGCTCTGACACAGTTGTTGTTTTGTGCTTTATCATTTTTATTTTCATTGCTTTTTTCAACCTGAGATGTTGCTGCAGTTCAGTGTTCATGGTTTTGCACTGGTCCAGATCAGAGCAGAGAGGATTCATGGTCCAAACCAAGCGGATCTGGTGAAAATCCACTGGAGGAATGCTAACTTTTAGAAAAATTCTTATGAAGCGTTTAGCATTTTACTTTGGACGAGAGCAGAGAAAATGGTCTGAACCAACTCCACCTTGTGACCTGTCCTGCTCCACCAGGAGACCACTCCGTCTTTGCTGCTGTGACCTGAAGGCCTGTGGCGGATCAATAGTATTATTAGCTTTTTAGAATGATCAATTTTATTTTTGCTGCTACTGGACACCTGAATTCCTCCTACGGGGGATCAATAAAGAATCTATCTCTCTATTAGCAAATCTTATTATAGGCAGTCAGAATGTGCACAAATTTAGATATATTTTGCCAAATTTGAGCAATTGTTGACTTATTTTTAATCACCTTTTGCAGTGTAATCCAGGACTCCTCAAAGTCAAAATTCGAACAGGCTGAATTTAAACCAAGAACGAAACAAAGGCAAATCTAAATGAAAACAGGAGAAATAGCAGAAGTTAAAGCTGGGGTGCCTATTGTAGTATGTGTTTTGTTTTGAAAGACGTGCTGCTTAAATCTTATCATAAAACATGTTATCTTTTGCACACGTGTAAGAAAGACCCCTGTGAGTCACTGTTTGATGTTTTGAGATGAGAAATGATTGGCATAGCAAGGGAGGTGCTCTCTTTTTCACTTTTCTGTCTGAAAAAGCGTATTTTAAGATGCAACAATGGCCAAAAATGCATGGATGTGATAACAAGTGAAAGATGATTACAAGATAGATGGATTTGAATATATAGTAACAAATGTTGTAGTTTAAAAGTTTGGTACCACTGCTTTCAATATTGTCAATCCAAATCCAGGATTAATCTCAATCTGAGCAAAAACTAATTTGGGCAAATACTACTGAGAAGAAACACTGATTAAACGGAGTGAGGAAAAAAAAAGAAAGATTAAAAACATTGAGGTCTCCAATGAGGACTGGATTAAAGTACAAACCGAGACATCGTGTTTAGTGAACCAGTTTCTAGAAAGAAGTTTTATCCACCTGTTTTAAGTCAGGGCACACCACCATTGGAATTATTTATCTTTGGATCAGAAATATTGCGCCAAAAAAAACTAAAAAAAATACAGGAAATGGCAAATTATTCCATCTATAAACTCAAATTGAAGGGTTTTGTAAGTTATGAGGACTGCATGTTGGGGTCTGATTTTTTCCACATAATTACAAGACCTAAGAATAAAAGGCCATTTACTTTGCCAATTACATCTGGTTGTTTGTTACATTTCCTTTCCCCTTCTCAGAGCCAGGTTTAGGGTTGTAACGGATACAATAATACAGACAATAGAGAAAACATCATGTTTAGTGAACCAATTTCTAGAAAGCAGTTTTTTCAACCTTTTAAAATAAAAAAATACATTGAAATTATTTGTCTTTGGGTCAGAAACATTGCGGCAGAACATAAAAAAAAAAAAAAATTCCATTCCTTCCATGTGTCTGTAAACTGAAATTGGACGTGTTTCTCTAAGACATGTCTAGCTATACTGGCCCCCTCGACTCTCAGGTGCCAGACAGAAGACAATATGTGATGCGACAAAACTGTGTCTGGAATGATTCAATCTTTAGTGAGAAATGCAGTGCTGTCCTTATATACAGACTGTGAGTGGGAGTGGGACAAGTGCATAATAGGGCTCACTCTACTCTGGTGAAGAACGATAACACAATCAAAGCTATCAGCCACACTGTTACGTGACTAACGTTTTATGAATATATTTGCAATACTTTGGAAAATCATTTCTTTTTACACAAATAAAACAATACTTTTCAGAGCTGAACGAAATGTCTTATTTAATACAACTGTTCCCGCGCTTCCAGACTGTGTTGATAAGTCTAAAGTCTGAGCAGATGGAGGGCAATAGTTTAGCAGAAAACATGGTACGTATAAGAAACTGATGCTGCAAGTTTGTAAAATGCTGCACACTCAGGGAACTTAATATTTTTACTATTTCTCTCACCTGAATTTAAGTAAAATCAGAATTATTTTTATTGTAACAGGAATTGGCTTGAGCTAAAGTTAAGCTTCTAACTAAAGGCTCCTGCTTGTCATCCCGGTGATATCATGCAATTCAAGTAGTTCATAAGGCAGATGAATAAAGTTTATTTAATGCAAACTCAGAAAATAAAGTATTCCACAGCAGTCACTAAAACTACATTTCAAACTTGATTGTGATACTAGAAAAAATCCTCTCTACCTATTTTTATACCACAGCACTTATTTATAAATGCTCTTTTTTATTTTCTGGTCTTTAAACAAGTCCTAATGATATAGTTTCAATTGCTCAAGAAATTTCAACATATGTCTTGTTTATGCGACTTTTCATATCGTAATTAGTTTGATACTTTTCAATACTTTTGAGCACATTGTTTGGCCCATTTGTTTGAACGGCGGAGATATGAGCGTGACTACATCCGTTAATATTTACAGTCTATGATCCAGACCTGACTGCTATGATTACAATACATTCACCAACACATACACCTGGTCTGCATTGTCTATGTAAATGTAAGGGCAAACAATGGGCTTTTCTACTTTATAGTTAAAGGTTGACTATATTCCCATAAACTGTAAATTGCCAAACCAAATGGTGGAATAACATGGCCCAGTTTGAACTTCCTCTCTCACTTCTCCTTTATCACACTAAATCTGATTGATGATAGAGGAAGAAAATCGTGAAATGAAGTAGCTGGAATGCTTTTTATCAAGACAATCAAAATGTAATTACAATGCTGTGCAGAAAAAGTCGGAAAAGGCCTCACGAGTCTGCTCAAAAATAACACCAAACTGCACAAAGGGCATTAACAGGAATGACATTGAACAGTTGTGACCGAGTTCACACGGGAGGACAGAGAATTGGATAACTGGCCTCGTCCAATTTACATCTCATCAATTTTAAATCTGATCAAAACCTGGGCACGTGGAAGAATAAGATGCTGCGGTCCAGTTTCCGCAAATTGTTTAAGGAAGTGGTCGGGACTCTTTGTACTCATTAGGACAGACCATGCTTTCAAGAGCTCGGCAGCGTTTACATGCACACAGTTAAAGCTGGGGTACCAAACTTTCAGACCACAACTCATTTCACTACGTAATACAGTCCATCTAGCTTAGTTGTGGTTCTATCAGTAGTTTTTCACTTTTTTGTCAGATTTTTAGGACCATCTCGACTCAGCCAATCAGCTCTCAGCCCATAGATTCAAATAGGGATACACTGGGCTCTTTTTTGACGGGTATGAAAAATATAAAATGTTTCAGATTCAGATTCAGATTCATTTATTTGCCATTTGCAGTAAAACCAACGTGTTTTGTAATAAGATGAGGACTGCATGTTGTGGTCTGTTTTTTCCACATAATTACAAGAATATATCTGTTCGTTAACAAAGAAAATGCAAAGTTTGCTCGGTTTATAATAGGTGTAAATGCTAATTACCCTGCTATAATAGAGAGTGCTAAAGCAAAGTAAAAAAGAAGGTTTCAAAGTACACTGTGATCAATGGAATACTAATAATGGAATAACGTATATTCTGAGACACAGATTGATTTGAGTGTTTTTGTTTGGTTTTGGAAACACCCAATAAAGTCCAGTCGTCCATATTCTCTGCCCGTTTAAACTCTGTCAGTGAAGGAGGGATAAGAGGAGGGGACTCACCGGCCACAGAGTTGGGGCGGGGCATTAGGTACAGAGGGATGGAGTGGGCGGAGTGGGAGGACATGCTCTCCAGGTTGCGTTCAGGGAGTTTGTTGAGGCTGTAGGTGGAAGCGGTCATGTTCTCATCCACTCTGTACAAATACGAGTCCATGCCTGATTTCTGCGACTGCCAAAGCTTCAGGTTCCCCCTCGAGCCCTCGCCGTACTTCCCTCCGCGCTCCACGTTCTCCGAGTAGCTGGTTAGAGTAGCTGCAAAGACGGAAAATTCAAGTTACAAACAATAAATATCCATTATGGAGAATAATCCGTTGTGATTTTTGTCTAATCTTCTCCAATTTGCTAATACCATTTTGCCAATAACATAATGAATACCCAGACAACTGCTGCCATGGCGACTGGCTTCATTACTAAACATGGAAAATGAAATGAAATATGTAGGAAATGTAATACTTTTTATGATCAGTAGTAGTAGTTGCCTAGTTTAAAAACAAAAGATGCCTGTTATAATACTTCTATAATGCTGCCCCTATAATATAACATCTATTTGAGTAAACCTGTAAAAGTAGTAGCTTGCAAAATAGACCTAAAACATTATGCAAACATTTTTTTCCCATCAAAACTCAAAAAACTTCATAAAATAAACAGTATACTCCCAATATGTGATTGTAGACTGAAACTACATGTATCTGAATAACAAAACTACTAATTCAAAATAGCAAAACAGAGCTGTCACTTTATGAATAATACTTTTCTATTTAGATTGTTTTCAATTTTAAGCCTTATGTTTTGAATAAAATAATTAGCCAACAACTGACCGACCAAAGACTGAAGCTAAAATAAACTTTCTATAGCAAGCCAATTACTTTTCCAACTATTACAGCCGCGTAGCATATGGTTTGGCACATCCCTTGTTTTTAAAGAAATGTCAGAGATATTTCATTTCAGATCCGCCTTCCTCAAACATCCTAAATATTCCACTCGAATCTGGGTTAGAAATGACACAATTACTTTGAAGTGATTATTTATATTTAGCTAAAGCTATTTTCAAGCTCGATTAACTCTTGACCTTTGCAATTACAACTTATGATTAGAAAATTAACGGTGAGCTTCATGGGGGTTTCATTTGCATATTTGGCAAACAAACAAGCATCGCGGCTGATCGTAACTCCCTGTGAGAAAGGATTTCACCTCGAGTGCCTCCGATGCAGGGTTGGAGCGTTGTGCATTGTACTGTAATGAAGGGTGAAGAAATGAGGTTATCTGGCAACCGGCGAGAGTGACATCGCAGTCATTTTTACCTGGCAGGTCACGGGCTCATCAGGTAACACTATGCTTAAATCTTGAGTCACTTCCAGAAACATTTACAACTCAAAACAACGGCAAGCTCACCTTTGAACCAAATAATGATGAGGAGGAAATACAGAAAACTCCAAATTGAAAGTGTTTTGTTTGCAATAGGCACAACGTCCACTGTCCCAACCAAATAAATAAGAAATAACCAGATTTTTGTTGTTGTATAATCTCAAACAAAAATGATATCCAATTACATAAACATCAAACTAATATTGTAATTCCTACATTCTCAACTCTCAAAGTAAGCTAAGGATGATTTAAGTAATATTTTACATCAAACTGACAATACAAATGTTCGCAGCTACAATTAACAAGCAAATTCTAGAATATTAGTATGACATTATTGAACCAACCCTTTGTAATTAAGTCAAAATGACGCTGTGTAAAAGCAGTATAGTAACAGATCTTTTGGCAATATCAGTATTGACAGAGAGCAGTATTGAGATACTTAAAATGAAAAGGGGACTCATTCATGGGACATTTGGTAAATACATTGTACAGGTGAAACTTGTTCAAAAGTTAATTTACTTCTGTGATTCAAACTACAATCTGAAACCGAGTCATTACACGCAAAGTGAGATTGATCAAAGAACTGTCAAATGTGACAAATGTGTACATCTCTCCATTGTGATATCAATAAAGTTTATCTTATCAAGCCTTGTGATAATGTTGATATTTTTTTATTCATAATATTTTGAAAAAGGAGTGTCAAAAAAGGCTTGATATATGTCTCTTCGCATACATCTTTTAATTAACTTTTTAACAATATTCTAATTTTCACCTGAAGGGAGTTTTGAACATACACTGTTTTTATTCCCTGCATCAGGAATATAATAAGAGTGGTACCGATGATGCCGCTGTCTCTGCTCTCTAACGTGGAGGTGGGACTGCTGACCCCTCCGTAGGCGCAGTCTCTGGAGCCGGCCTGGCCTGGCATGCTGGGGGGCAGGGTGGAGCAGGGGCTGCCGGCAGGGGGCGACGCGGTGCTGCTGGTCAGGGTGGAGCACGGGCTGATCCTCTGGTTCTGAACCTGAACACAAAGATGACATAACATCAATAAACTATCAGAATAATCAATACTAATTCTACTACTGCAGGGTTCTCCAATCATTTTCACCCAGAGAGCTACTTTCTTGGGATAAAAGGGGCAGAGAGCTACTCCTTTTAAGCATTCGGGGAGCTTTAAGTGGTGCTGTTACAAACATCCTGGTCATTATTATTTATTCCAAAGTTAGTCTGCAGTTACAATAGTTGTGGGCATTGAATCATGCATTTTGGGATAATCAACACATTTATGTCATTTCAACATTCTTTCAGGAGCTAAATGGAAAGGGCCAGCGAGCTACAGATAACTTCAAAGCTACAGGTTGCTTTGAACAGTCAAACTGAACTATATCACTACAGAAAATTAATCATGCTGAGATTTCCTTGCCGAAGAAGAATCGGGTCTTAAATCAGGTAAAATTGGCAAAAATAGGTAAAAATACTGCAATGGACAAGACAGGAATTTCTGGTTGAATTCCGAAAAATTTGACGCTTTCGAACCATTTACTTTCATTAAGAGACCAGAGTGTCAACTTCAATATTTGTGTTTCTAAAAGCTCAGCCCCCTGCGGATAAGCCCACATATTGTCAGCCCTCCTCGAGAGCTCATCACAACAGCTCATAATGTGAACACATTTTCCAAAACAATAGATTCACAAAAGCATTGAGGATTTCTATGTAACTGCACTTGGACTATTATGTAACAGAGAGGGTTAGATGAGGATATTGCATTGAAAATAATAGGGAAAGGTGCTAAACAGGAGCAGAAATGACAGATTATTTACATTGGAAACAGGCAATTACGTTTTTTCAATATGGATTTTCACTAAAAGAATATGCTTGTGTTCTATTGAATGGTATAATCGCAAAACAAGCAGCTGTCTAAAATTCAATTGGGCATTTTGAACACACATATTTGACTAGTGGTGGCAATGTTTTGGCACCCAACAGAGAAGCACTTCAGTGTCAGTTCAGGTTAGGAGCCAAGAGACCACAGGGAACAAAACATAAACACTATGTCGTAGACAATCCACTGCTGTGAACTCAAAACAAAAGCCCAGGACAGACCAGAGGCAATAGAATCAAATGGAACAATGAAGTAAGTGCATCCAAAACAAACAGGCAGGATGTTCCTATTGAAAACTAAAGGATGGAGGAATATTGTTTGAGTATTGGTTGTGATTCCAAGAAGCTGCATTTTTGGATAGTTTTCAGCACATTAACCATCACCCATAATGATCATCTTGTGTATGTCTAATAGATAATAGGAAGTACAATATTTGGTCATTTTCAAGGTCGGAATTAGGGTTGTCAAAAGTACCAATAATCAGATATTAATCAATACTAGTTTTAGTACTAAAAAAAACCTTCATTTTAGTTTAGTTTAATTTAGTTAATTGATTAACTAAATAAACATAATTGTTAGGAATTTAGTTAAACATTTTCAAATAAATCAGAAGAAAACACAATATTACTGTTTTGAAATTTATCACTCAAAAGAACAATTATAAATAATTCACGTGATATTTTTAACTCAAGTTAAAAATGTAGTTCTAACAAAACTCGGGACATAGGTCAAACGCTGTGAAAAACAAAACAAAATGTCTTGTCATTTACACACTCAAAGGTGTTATTAGGGCAATTCATGCTTGTCCCCTAACCCTAACCCTCCCACTGTTGTGGGAGAATAATATCATATTCTCCCACAACAGTCACCCCTGGCTCCTCTGACCACCACATCACTCTCAGCCGACACATTTCTTTCATGACATTGTTTTAGATCAATATGGCTAAAGCTGGAGTACCCAACTTTCAAACCAACTACATTTCAGGCAAAAACATGTTTTTGCAAGACAACGACAGAGTGTTGCAAGACTTTTTCTTGGGAAACAACTTAGGGTTGCACCCCAGTTTTAAGTGCAGCTGTCATTTACTGGACTAGGTGTAAAAGTACATAGTGGCTGTGGGCAAAACACAACATTAAACAGACGCACTGGAGGATGGCAAGTATTGATATTCCATCAAGCAATTTCCACAGAAACGGCAATCCAAAAAAAAACAAAAAAAACACGTAGGTTCAATGCAATTTTGACTTATTACAATCACAGAATGACCTCAAGCTTTCACACGCCCGCCAACTCCCCATCGCGGTGTCAGGATAACCTAACGAACCGTGTCATGTGACGGAATGACCTTAAACGCAGAGCCGTGATTGGGCCGTACGTGCGTCGTGTCTGAGGAGAGCAGGAGAGCGAGTACCATGCAATTAGCTGCAATCTGCGAGAGCTCGGGTCACCTTGTTCCTTCTGCCGTTCAGAAAGACAGACACTGACGCAAATTAGGCTTGTCAAAAGAACCAGGATGGAGAGTGCGATCTCTGGAAAGGTTATTCCAAATCCTGGCACTTTACATTATGCAGACAGCGGATAATTGATGTGTCACAAGTAGCTCCTTAATTACTTTAAAATTAAATCTGGCAACAGAGGCAATTAATATATAAGAATAACTGTTTGTATATGATATGTAAAATGTAGTCTGTTTGTCCTCCTGTTTTTTAAATGATTTCTCTCGACTCTGCAAATCATTGAGGTCTCATGGTGTAAGATGGAAGCCCCCTCACTTGCAGTCTCGCCAACAGAGGACCATGATATTTATGGATATTGTGTCAAGGTTTAAGTTTATTTTTCATGTTTTATTTTGTAACTTCCTCAGTTCTACTTCCTGTAGTGTGATTAGTCATTTTGTATTTAATCCCTGGGTCGTCCTTTAATCTCTTTTAAGCCATTGTCCTTTCCAAGCCTGTTTTTTTCCTGTCTTCACCCCCAGGTCAATTCAGTTTTGAATTTTCAACCAGGATTTAGCTTTGTTTTTGCTTTTATCAAAAAACTTATTGCAGTCCTGCATTTTCGGTTTATTTCCTTTTGAACTTATTTGAAGCTCTGCACAGCGCGACAGTGAAACAGCATGTGGACCAACACAATTGACAATATCAAGGCAACATTTGTTTAAGTAAAAAATCAGCACAACTATTAGGCACATTCTGCGGCTAAAACAACACGGCTACAAGAGATGCTACAATTTTTCATCACTATTGTCGTTATTAAATTGACAGGAAAGTATCTGCTTTGAATGCTATCCCCGCAATGGATAAAGTGGAAGAAAATGAATGGATTTTGACAATATATTGCACAGTATATGGTTAATACAGAGCAGATATCTACAAGCTCATTACCATAGCCGCAGTAGCCCCTGGTCAGAGGAAAGGAGAGAGGAGGTTAACAGCAAGCAGAGAACTCATGAAATGGCCTGAGCAACATTAAAATACAGCTTAACACACACATTTACAAAGTACTGCTGCACACTGCACTTACACAGAAGGCACTGTGGGAAGCAGTCATTTCTCTAAAAGCGGGAATGTTCTTAGAAAGCATGCATGAATCATCGTTGATAGAACTTCAAGTGGGCTAATATTGCATTCATGTTCCCTGGAAAAGCTGTTTAAATGGCCGTTTGAAAGTCCAGTTTACCACTATGATTCAGGGCGCTAGGTGGATACAGCCTGGTTTTATTATTATATTATATATTCAATGGAATTAGGACAGTACAAACAGGTGAAACTCATCTAAATAAAACACATTAAAAATATAAAAGAAAACTGACTGTAAGCCATAATATTTCAACATCACGTATGACATACTCAGCTATTTCTGGTCCCTATTTTCGTACCAAGAAAATGTCAAACTGTCCCATTCCTGAGGACATGACTAACGACACAGAAAACAGAAGATGACTAACAGAACAAAACGCATATTTTGTATAAGGATTGACGTATGTAATTGGTTTTACCTTTTGAATCATAGTCATATTTTACAATTTTCACCTGGATGCTTGAAGTGGTGCGATGACAAAATTCCACCAATGTTTAGTCTTGCATAAGCCAAAAAAAAAAGAGTTGTTACATTTTCATCTAAAAAGGTTTATTGAAACATGCAGCTGATGGGTTTTGTCATGACATACCATTGGCTGCACCAACGCTCCTCAAACTAAACGTTCAATCTCTCTTGCCAACTGCAAAACTCAAATATTGATGTCTCAGTGCCGTTTCCACCGTCAGCGCTTTTAGATAATTTCATCATTTATTCCTTAACTCTCATTAAAACATAACCAAAACCGTGCGTTGTATTAGCCGTCGCCTCTGGAGGCATTTAGCGTCAATCTCGGAAGGGGACGTTTCAAACAGAATCCGGTATTTGGGGCAGATCCGCGCAATAATAAGTCGTACGGTGCGTCGCGGTGTTAGCGGGGTGCTTGTGTGACTCACAGCGTCTCCAAAAAGAAGCGCTTGAATAAACCTCTCTGAATCTGATCCACCCCCACTGTTACAACATGGAGCATCAAGCACAGCCAGTCCATCAGGCTAATCGCTTCTCCACACCACTCTCTGGTGCCTGCCACGACAAACGCTCCGGCAACAAGTGCAGCTAGTTTAGTCCTATGTTGCGCACAGGAGAAGGTTGTTCAGGCCTGGATTTACTTTAAAAATCCTTATGCTTGTTTCAAAACTGCTCCACAGTCTGACGCCTTCATGTATTTCGGAACTACTTGTGTTTTATTAAGTCTCAGAATCATAACTCTTTTCATTCCCTTTGTAAGTAACAGGAAGTCACAAACTAGAATATTTCTTTGGCTCTTGGTGCAAACAAGTTAAACAAGTAAAAATAGAATAAGGCATGCATAAACAGATAATAAAACATCTCCAAAACATGTCTTAAAAATACTAGTATATACAAGTCCACCAAGTAAACACAATAGACATTTAGCAGTGCAGTAAAGTGACCTAAATAGGGTTAGGGTATTAAATGTGCACCGACCCTGAGCTCATTGAAGAGTAAAGACTTGTTTAGACTTGCCGCTATCACTGTCCTTAGCTGATTTAATTTTTATTTATTTTACATTGCCCTTGTGGAGCATGTTGACTTGTCTCGTGTAAAATGTGCTGTGAAAAAAATAGATATATTCTTGTTTCATCTGATTTGAAATGTATGGCAAAGGGAGAAACTTTATTGGACAACTAGGAATGGGACAAAAAGCAGTCGACCTTGGGTTTATGGAAAAACCCACCAAAGACTAGATTTCTTATAGTTTTTCTAATTTTGGTCATGCCACAAACAATGTCAAAATGCACCATGGAATTGTCTGGGAACTTTGAATTTTTTTTCATGTCTTTTCATTTTAAATTAGCTCCTCTGCAGTTCAACTTTTCTCCAATGTGCACTTCTTTAAAAACAGTGTGATCCCATTTACAATTTTAGGTGTGATTTCAACCCAGAAAGGCCTTGTTCAAGATATTGCATAAATATGAGGGGGAAACTGGAGGCTTGAAGACAAAATGGTTAGATCTGGTTGTACTTGAAGCGTGGAGTATCTTCTTCTAAAAGCCTTTTTTGTCAAATATTTGAGAACCATTTATGGAAATATATTCATTTCATTTGCCCAGAATTACACAACTCTACAAGTGCCACACTGTGCTATTTCTGGTCTAAATGTTCATACCGAGGAAATACTGTCATACGGTCCCATCCCTGAGGACATTAAACAAAAAGCAAACAAGAGTATAAAAACTACATGTATATATTTGTTATCACTTTTTTTATATTTTGCCATGGGCGCTGGAATGGGGAAGCAAAGATCCCACTCAAGCTAGTTTGGGTATCAGACTCAAGAATTTAGTGTGCATACAGCCTACAGTGTGGAACAATTTAAAACATTAGCTGAGATCTGTATTGTTTTTTGCTTGACTTAAATGAAGATCCTTTTGTGAAAAGCCATAGTTGTCAGATCAGGTTTAGGGAGAAAGACCAGGATATCTGCTGGCAAACCTAAAACACAAGCCCCACTGTGCCAAGAGCCACTTGTTACCAAGTTCTCAAATAGAAAAGCGACAATGAAGGAGAAAAAAATGATGGAATACAATACAGAAGCGGAGGTGAAGTAGTGTTTTGTCACAACATTAGGACTCTGACTGTCTTCAACTGTCGACAATCACAACAGTTTCAGAAAGTGGAGCTAAATTAATCCGTATTTTTTTATATTATAGACATCTTGTAGGATTAGGTATCCATTTAATGATGTGGGTTCTACAGATAACCGGAATATGTCTTTATCTATCTGAAATTAAACTCATTTTGTAAAAACAAGAAAAAAATCATATTATTTTTACTGCGAGTGGTAAAAGTCAGAAAAATGTTCTGGCTTCCATATGAAGAGTTAATTTGCAAAAAATAGATAAGTGCCATTAGGAAACAATTTGTAAAAGTCAATTTCGACTTTATTCAAAAGCTAGACTTATTTTGGTATAAAAATAAAGTTTCACGGCTCCTTAAGCAAATAGTTTCTAATGTTCTGCCAAAAACAACCCACGTCAAGGATTGTAACTGGATGAATACAACTTTTTCACACATTTTCCAGCAGATTTCTTTTTTAACTGTATGTATCATGTTCTCTGCCCAGTAGTGAATGAATGAATGAATGAAGACATTACGCTCATGAAAATAGAGACAACATATATTTTTGTTAATATCTAAAGTGGTATGAAAATGACTGATTAGAAATTGGTTGTGAGCCACGGGAAATAAATGAGTGAGAATCAATAATTATGTTGCTACTACTTAGTAAAGAAGTGCAAATAAAATCTAAATTCAAACAGAGACTGTGATGTTTGAGGCCAATTTTACCCAGACAATTTTTGATTGAGGCCACTTCTCTGTCAAACGCAAAAGTAAACAAGGATAATGAGATGTCAGGAAAGGCTCTTGAACATTTTAATGCAATAGAAATGAGAATTTGAAAAGGCTGTACAAATGGAATAAATACAGACAAATAAATAAATGTTTTGGAGCCATAGCTGCGCGTCTAATTTATCCCAAAGTCACAAAAATCTCCAAAACGTCTAAAAATAAATGACTCCGTGCTGCGACATGTGTGGGATCAAAGTGGATCTTGTGAAAATACTGTGACTCCGTTGACAGATTTTCAACAGTCGCAACAAAGCCGTGTTCAACATCAAGCACCAAAGAAAATTATATTTGGCATTCAAAGAGAAATATTTTATGGATTAAAACACATACGTCTGAATGAAACGAGCTCCAAAGCAAAAGACACATTAAAACGGCACTCATTGAATCGGCTCTTGGTTTGAACTGAGACAGAATAAACAATAGATTAAAGGGGCCGAACCTACGTTATATAATCTAATGTAAATATAAATCATATTTGACCATTTCTGAACTAAAGTAACGCCTTGAGCGTTTCTTAATTAAAAATACAATACATACATGATGTCCATAATATTTATGTATACGATTTTGAAGCAGATTATCCGATCAGAGAGCAGAATGAGGCTCTCATTTGGGTTGCCATCAGATACATGAGTCACAGACAGGATGATTCTGGCAACAAAAGTTGGATTTTAACTGTATTGACTTTATTAGACAACTAAGTTCTTTAAAACAGGGCGACTATACAATTCATGAAGCAGAGATTAACCAGGAGAAAAAAAGGTCAAACTAAGATCAAATAAAACCTTTTTTAATTTGCAAATAACAGCAGTTTTTTTTTCTTTACTGCCTTTTTATTGTGTTGGTAAAATGTTAAATGATATCTTATAAACATTATAATTCCAAATTTCCAATAAAATATTTTCTTCTGATGGGATTCTTCTTCCAAAAGTAAAAGTATTATTTAAAAGTATTGTATTGTCATTATAAACTCCATATCACTCTATGGCCCAGTGAAGAGCCCCACCCCACTGCTTTTAATCCAAAGTAAACCAAGGCTTACCCAGCGCTGACTAAGCAATCCAAAAGCATGACCAGGTTATGAACTGTACGTCATGAAAACATATTTAAACATGTTCAAATAAAGACTAAAAAGTAATCTATATACAATTAGGCAGAAGGAAAACTAAAATCCCAATTCAAGATTGTTTTCATTAATTCCATTTGTTAAACCTGCCCCACATCCTGAGAAGTTCTATAGATGGGGTACCTAACTTTCAAACCACAAAAAATCCTAACTACGTAAAGCAATCTTGATGTTTTTTTTGACGGAAAAGTGAAAAAAAGGGGACCACCCTCACTCGACCGTCAATCAGCTCTCACCCCAAAGAGTCAACGAGTCATGATGATGTTGTGGTCCGTTTTGCTGACAATGTATTATTCATGCAAAAAAAGTCTGTTAGGTGCCCCAGCTTTCCTTTGAATATGTTTCTGCCGTTTGTGATTATTCATGCAAAGGTATAATTGGATGTTCATGTGCTTGTTTACCTGTCTGGCCTCGGGATCCTCCATGCTGTAGTGGGAACCTGGACCCTCGCTCACTTTGTCTCCCAGAAGGAAACCCAGACGCGTCATCAATGTGTTGGCTGCCTCATCCACCGTCGGAGGGGGCCCCAGCTCTCGGTTAGACTGCCCTGAAAAAGCCATCGGGAGGGGGGGGGTGGAGGAGAGACAGAGGGAGGTGCATTAGAAGATTTAAGAAAAGGCCAAGTTAGTAATTTTGTCAAATTGGCTTTAAAAATCCCTTTTCTATATTTTTTTTCTTTTATCTTTCAACACAGGCTAGAACAGCTGTAACCCTGACTACACACACCTACAATGGGAGTATTTAGTATTGTAATAGTTTCACAAACAATTTTTAAATAATGAGTCCATTATTATTACAGAATTATGTTACTTTTTGCTGTTGTTTTACCTGTAAATATGAAAAAGATTAGGGCCAAACCAAAGGCTGACCAAACACTTCATTCTCTACCGATTTCTAACAACCCCTCATGAACATATCAATCAATATATTTATTTAAAAACCTGTACAACACAATTTTGCAGATCAAAACACCAGAATAATAGGCAGTCCATTCAATTTCAAAGCAATAACCTCACCCATTCAACACAGACACTATTTGGAATAAAAATGTCAGAACAGAACAATTCAAAAGCAATACAGTCATGGTATAATACAAGACAACACACTGGCCCAAACACTCTCTGACCCTACCCCTCTCTTTCACTAATATCAGGTTTGAAAATGTTTTAAAAGAATCTCTTTAAACCGTTCTAAAGAGTCGCTCCACGCAGAGATACATTTATTCAAAACCATGTAAATGTTTAACCAGTTTTGCATTAATAACGTTCTCAATAGAATCGCTTAAAAACAGTGTCACGGGGCAAATATTAAAGTTAGCATGACCTCCAATGTCATACACGCAGATAAGGATAATGAAGCACATGGTTGCCATTCTTCCATATCATAACGAATGAAAATATTTGGATTTCAAAGGCGTTATCAAGGGCAAGTCTAATTCTGATTAATAGATTAGCGTGTTGAAAAGAAAAATATGGCTTGAACTGAGACTGAAACTGGCATTTAGCAGTCGCAATTCAGGTTTGAAATCCTGGCCAGAACATGCACTAATCTTAAAGTAAATCAACACAAACCGAGGCACAAAACAGAAAAGGAGGCAGATTACACTCTACAAAAAGCTTATATCAAACCCTTTGCACCGTAACAACAATTTGACAATGACACTGTAAATGTCTATGAATTACATTTGTGTGTTAATAATGCTCTCACACACACACACACACACACACACACACACACACACACACACACACACACACACACACACACACACACACACACACACACACACACACACACACACACACACACACACACACACACACACACACACACACACACACACACACACACACACACACACACCCCTACCTGAACTCCCCTTTAAGTCTCCACTTCCTTGCATTACCGATACATCCTTCCTTCTTCAGAAACCCAATTCCAGCCACGTAAAACAGATCCCAAACGCTTTCCCGAGATCCAAAAGTGTCCTCATGCCTCCCACGCTGGCTTCCTTGCTTTCTTTCCCATCACACTCACACACACACAGGTCTCAAGTGACGCAACCAGATCCACCCTTCACCTGCGACTCGCTCCGTGACTTTACAAGACAAAGTGGGCGTGTGGCTGACTCTCTGCTGCTGCTGCTGCACAATGCCAACATGAACACACTCCTGCAAAGCCTGCGTGGAGATCAGATAATCAAGAATACGCCAGCGCGAACCAGAGTAGAACAATGAAAGAATTGTGGCTTTTCAGTTTTGTCTTAAGCTGGGGAATATTAAAATTACTGCATTCTATCGCTCGTTTTCAAATGGATGTATTTTCTGTTACAGCACTAGATCAGGTTTTTTTTAGACTGAAAAGTGAGAAACTGAAGTGTCAAAACTTGCCTCACGTCTTGAGAAATTCTATCAGTCAAAGCTGGGGGTCCTAACTTTCAAACCGCCAAAAAAAAACAAAAACGGTTGTATAGGTTTTTTTATCGCTAGTTGTCACACGGATGTATTTTTGGCTTTAGATCAGCATTTTCAGACGGATAAGTGAAAAATAGAGGACCATCGTCATTCAGCCAATCAGCTCTCAGCCCAAAGTGTCAAATATTGATTCATAGGGCTCTTTCTTACAGGTACTCGAAAGATAACATGCCAATGCTAACATGCTACTAAGATGAAGACAGCATAGTGTGGTCAGATTCACAACCTTTTAACTTTTAGAAGACTCATTCTGTTATTGGATATGGATTTAAAATCACAACTCCATAGTATTTCATAGACCAGCAGTCAATATGAATGCTTATGTACTAAATCCTCATGGAGACAAGGAGGTGATGTCAAAAGTTCAGAATCTGAACTTCAGATATGTGGTAATGCTAGTCTGTTCAAAGGAATAACTCATAACATTACGTCAATGGGGCCGAGGAAGGCTACACATCCAGAGGTATGTTTTGATAAAAGACAGAAATGTGTAGTGCAAAAATAACTGAAAAACAAATGCTTTTCAGAATCAGGAATTTCAAGGTCAACAGGATTTATGAGATCATTCAAAGGAAAGGGTTAAACTAAATATCACATAAACATATCTTACAGTTACTGAAACACAGGGAGTCCAATTTCAGAAGCAAAACAATCTTCTGTTCGATCCCCAGATTGGGTCATTCTGTGTGGAGTTTGCATGTTCTTCCCGTGTCTGCACAGCTCTCACCTGGGTGCTCCAGTTTCCTACCACTAAAATATGTACTATGGGACTGGTTGGTGACAGTTGAAAGGTCTGGTGCTCTGGTTAAGCGGCAATACCACTTCTGTCAACACAGTGTGAAGTGAACGGAAAATACAGCGACATGAAGCTTTGTATGAAACCTTAGTCCAGGAAATACTTCAACAGATGCAGGTTAAATCAGGTGAAATATATTTCAGCCGTGAATACAACGGACATTTATTGTATCTACACTATTACACTACAAAATAAATGCATTGTGACTTTCTTTACTTACTAATATTATTCTGATGTATCTATTTTTGTTTAGTAAAGCACTTTTTGTTGCTTTGTCACTGCAAAAACTGATACAATATAAGTGAATAAATGCTTGAATCAAGTGTTTTTGTCTTAATTTGAGTATTGGACTGTGTTAAAAAAGATTTACCAATGGAACAAGCAGTTTATTCTTATTTCAAGTGCTGTTACAAATTATGTATTATTTATTATGTATTATTATTTATAATTCATTATTCCAAGAAAGACATTTCTTGAATTTTCTTGTGTCTTTTTAGATATCTTTGCTTGTTTCATTGGCAACTCTTGTCAAAATGTATCAAAATGAATATACAAATTGGATTCAAGCATTTTTTACATTGTATTTTATCTTTTTTTTTTAAAACTAGGATTAAAAAATAAACTTGCCAAAAAGTATGCAGTATAGAGAATGTTAATAGTGTCTAAAAAGTGCTATAAAAACTGATGAAATATGATTTGGTCTGGATGTTATATTATGTTAAATCCAACAGCTCTCTTGGCTTCTTTGCACTCAACCGATAAATGTCTAAAATCCTTTAATAGCCTCATTTTGTGGTTTGGTTGCTATTGGTTACCTTCAGACTCATAACAAACGCCAAGCTCTCATTGGAGGCATTATGTTTTGCAGCAACACCTGGCCATCCTGCCTCTGAGCTAAACACTGGTTCCATTTCCTATAGAGCAGCTTTCTCTAATTACTCAAACAGGCAGTTATAAAGAATGCAAACAGCGGCAAGTGAGGCCATAATCTCATCAGTATAGACTCAAGAATTAGCAAAAGTGGACACAAAATGTTTAGAAAGAAAGAAGGGAAGACAGCTTGCTAGCATATGTGAACAAAAATAACATGGTGTTTACTGTATCATGGAGAACAAGAACAAAGGCCTTCTTAAAGCTGGGGAACCTGACTTTTTAACTATAAATACAATAAAAAAAAGTTTTGAAAGTAAAATGTGAATAAATCAGACCACAACATGCTTTCTTCATCTTATTAGAAAAATGTTAATTTTTGCATACTTGTAAGAAAGAGCTCATTATTTGAGAAAGACCAAAAAACATGCACATGCTAGCTAGTTTGAACGTAACTGTTTTGAGAGCAAGATTGACAATATCCAAGTAATATTTTGTAGTTTGGAAATTAGATACACCTTTGAAAAAAAAATCTATTGTTTCTTTGTTATGTCCTCTACAACTACCCAGATAATGAAAAAGAGAGTGAAAAAAGTTAGAATGAAAAAACAGACAAACAAAATGTCTATAGAGGCATACATGGAGAGAAACACATGGGACTAATTGTACCTGAAACATTGATATCGTTTGCAGCATATGATGAATTATAATGTAGCCATAAAAATCCACTGCAGGTTTTTTTCTTTGCACCAATAGTGAAACAAAGGAGCTCAATCAATTCTGTCAAAAGTCCACCCGGCATGTGTCATCCCTAATTCAAACAAATGCAATAACCAAATTGGAAATACATCTAAGCTTTTGAAATTCATGAAACGTATATTTTGCAGTGTATAGCCACACAGAGAGCTAGCATATGTGAGAGGCAGGTCGTCTGTCCTCCTCGTGCAGTGCTGGTGGAGCAGGTTGGACTGGACTGACAGGAGCGGCTCTTTTCAGACTTGAATGACGAGTTGCAGACAGCGCCGCCTCCACAGCAGCTGCTCTGAGCCCGAGACCGCTCACTCAAGCTCCGAGACCCCCAGACAGGTTATTCCAACACCGGCTTGGAGCGTTTAAAAGCACTCCCAGCTAAGTTATTGAGAACAGGTCTTATGTATACGTGTGTATATAATGTGTGTATGTGTACTAAAATGCCTATGTCAGATTTGTGGTCTATAGGATGAGAGCAAGGTAAATATTTCACAAGACAAGATGAAGTTTTGCTATATATTGGAGCAGAAATTTCACAAATTGTATTCAATTCAAAGTATTTTAGTATAGCCCTAAATCACAACAGTAGTTTCTCAGAAGACTTTACAACACCATTGATTCGCCAACACAGATCAGAGAATCAAAAAGTTCAAACAC